CTGAAATGCGCCACGGCCCACGTGTGGGGTAACAATCACGTGCCGGACATCTGCAGTGGCGTTGATAAATGGTCCCAAGGACGTCCAGTTTCCAATCTTTTGCACCACCACCGTCCACCACATTTGGTTGTTTCATCGTCAAATTAAGGGAAGATTCCTCCATCTTAATTTATTCGAAGTAGTTTTTTTGATATATAAATATATACACACACATATATATATATAGACATGTAAAACAAACAGGTGATATAATCAATACTGGACAAAAATGGGGCTTTCATTTGTGAGGATGGTATCACGGATTAACTATTCACCACCCAGTACAGATTCGTACCTTTTCGAACATGACACTTTTGTCCCTAGCTACTCTTGCATGGCTCATCATTCAACTAAAATTAATTAGATAGGCTCGATTCTCTATGTTTTATAGGTCACTTGATCATCTCTCAATAAAAAAGAGAGATTAGAGCTTCTTTGTTCAATTTTTTAAGAAGCAATTTCTATTTTTTGTGAACTTAAAATTTAAAAATGGTTTAAAATTATAGTTTTTGAAAATCCAATTTAAAAAAGTAGTTGTTTTTAAAGAACATTTTGCTCAGTTTAGTTTTATGAGAATAATTTTATGTTATTTAAGATTTAAAATTCAAAAAAATTGTACAAAAATTTCTTTGGTTGATTGAGAATAGTTTTGTGAAAATTTAGTTTAAAAAAATGTTTAAGAATTCATCAAAAACAGTTTTATGCTTTATAAATTGTTCGAGATCTATTTTTTAAGTGACAAACCTAGCAACTTTTTTGAAAAAAAGATTTTGAAAACTATTTTTAAGTTTAAACATAGTTTTCAAAATTTTAAAAAATTAAAACACTGCTTATAGAGAAACTACTCATATATACAATACATAAACGTATAAAATAGATATCTATTACCATTCCAATCACTGAACACAAATATCCTGATCATTTTTTTAAAAATAAGCTGGCCACTTCGGTTAGCCTGGGAGGTTGGTAAAGAATTTTTCGATTTTATTACTTTCTCGGTCCCAAAATATTTGTTTATTTTTTCATTTTGAGATGTCCCAAAAAAAAAATATGTCCTATTTTAAAATTAATTATACTATTTTTTATAACATTCCCAAACTATCATTTTAATTAAATAAATGCACTAATTACATAATACTATTTTGAAAATATATTTGAAACTTCACTGACTAAACATGTATTTTGGGAGAGGGAATATTATTATATAAGCATATTTTAAGCAATTTTGAATTAATGTTTTCCTGCACAATTAGTTCTGATGATTTTAGTTCTGTATGGCTTGCATACACACACACACACACACACACACACACATATATATATAAACACACACACACATAACAGAAAAGACACATTTAACAAGTTGGATATATACCGGGAAAAAAAAGTTGGATATACAAGGGGACTTCAGTTTGGTAATCTGTATGTAAGATAAAATTAAAAAAGAGAAGGGACTGGCCGGTAGAGAGAGAGAGAGAGAAAGCATTAGACGACAGTTAGTCCGACAAGAGCGGGTAACAGTATCTTGAAATATATTTTAAGGCCAACATGTCTTCCCTACAAAACAGCCTACCTCCCCACAGTAGTGGCTCTCCTTGTTCTTCGTGCATTTCACAAAATAACAATCTGACTCTCTGTAATAAGATAGAATGAAAATACAACTATATAATACATATATAACCAAACAACCACACACATAAACACACATGTATATATATGTATGTATATAAATGTAACAAAGAGTAATTAACAACAAGTACTTATCTTAACATCAGAAAAGGTGGCGGAAATAATGAAGAATTACATGCATGAATATATGCATATGTTAATAATCATCATAATCTCGTATATACTTATCTATTTGATATATTTGAGTCTAGAGAAAAATGGATGAATAGTTTTATGTTTAATTACCTCTATTTTGTACCATGATTAACGTACCTTGATCTAATTTCTAAGTTAATTATGACATCTAATTTCTAATTTCATGTTATGACAGCTAGAAATTTATTTGGTTTTTTAGTTGAAATTAACTAAGAATAATTGAGTATTATATAGGTCAAATCAACATTAATTTATTGTCTTTCATTCAATTATGCATGTCTAGCCTGATTGATAATAATGCAAAAAGGAATAGAAGAAAACTTATCGATTTGATGCACAAACTAATGCTAGCTAGCTAGCTCTATATATTGGACCACTTTCGATCATAATTTCAATCATTAAGCCTTTGTTTATATATGTTTTTGCATGTTATCTAACTACTTAGGCGAAAATGAAAGTTCAAGTTTAAGAACAATTACTTTGCATAATACATAGTTCCATTAATAGATGACAACTATATACTGATATTCATCACATGACTTAATTATCCTCCAAAGGGTACGTATGATTTTATATATACCTACCTTATATATGAGATACATGGATCAAGGCCGGATAGCAAAAGTAGGGGAGCCATGAAATGACACGTACAACCATATTTCATGAGAAAAAAATGCTATGCTTTAGTGCTTTACCATGAAGAGCTAGCTAGCTAGACTTTTTAAGTATATATAGTACAGGCTAGCTAGTAGAGTGCACCAGACTTCTGTCATTACGGGATCTCTGGGTAGGGTCAGACATACACAGCCGTTTTTCGATACATAATAGTTGAAATTAAAATCTAACTCTGCATAATTTATTCTGTACATGTACATGTACATGCACACACACACACATATATATATATATTTGTTCAGACAAACGAGACCCCAACAACAATAAATAATTATCAAAGGGAAAACGAGTGATGTAGAATTAACAATATCGATCAGAGACAATAATGGAGGTAGATATGTTTTGTGAGGAGGAATTTGGATTTGAGCTATATGTAGTTGGAATTGTAGTAGAAGAAGATATTCCTTGGTGGCTAAGGCAGTTGAGGAGGCAGTTATCTCATCTGGGAGAGGTGGTGTGTGTGTGTGTGTCAGAGAGACTGTTGTTGAAACAAAAAAAGAAGCAACCATACTTTTAATAGCAAAGTGATGAAAAAAAACCAGCTCACAAGAGGCACCTCTTTCTTTTCTACTGGTCCCAATATTAAAAAGCTACTACTCCTAGATCTACCAAATACTAGTGTTGCAATAATATATGGTTGGAGTTGGATGTGCATATAAATGGCTATAAATAAATATGTGTGTGTGTGTGTGTATGATGGTATTAAAATTTTGGCTACTTGTGACCTGTGTGTGTATTTGAGAGAGAGGTCATGCAACCCATGCATAGGGTTGTTTTTCCTTCTAACCCAAAAGTATATTAGCTTTAACTACTGTTACTTTTGGGAAAAGAGAGAAAATGTGAAGCTTATATATAGTTTAAGTGGAGTTCATGTGAAATCTAGGAGCACAAAGGAGTATCCATGACTTATCACTTTCACTTACGAACTCATTCTGATGGTGGGGCCTGTAATTATCCTATGTAATTTATCATACCCTACAACCAGTTTATATGGATCTAATGTTGCATTTATTGTCTATATATAGTTATATATATTTTTTTAATTAGAGCATTACGATACACTCACCAAATACACACATGATCAGTCTGATGGACCACAAACACCGTGTCTCATGCCCAATTGCCCACTGATATTGAAGAGAGAAAATTACAACTCAATAGTACTGACAGTCAAGTGCATCTGCATCATCCAATATGGAACCTGATCGATCTTGAATTTTTCAATGGTCCACCACAATCCCAATAATGATAAGTTCTTGTCATAGATGCGTCGATGGTTGAAATTTAAGAATAATTCAGTTCATCGTACAACTCTTAAACGTGATCTGAAGTACTAACCATGACAAGACAATCTAAATATGCCCCCTTTTAACAAAATGATAGTATTTTTATTTGCGTAGCGTAAATTAGACATCTTAGTGCAAATGAATCCATATACTATGTATGAGTAGTTTTGCATGATGCCCCACATTGCTTATGGGAGAAGTCGTGAGCTAAGTCACACAATCCTTCTCAGGCGTCGCTTTTACGTTTCGAAAACACTCTCACTCTTACGCTCCGAGCACCCTCTTTCTCAAATCTTTATTATTTCTGACTTAATTTTGCTACTTTTATGCTCCCGCTTTCGAATTCGCTCTAACTCTCTCCCGCTTTATGTGACTTAGGTCGTGAGCACTTATGAGGGTGTTGATCACCTACCTATGTAGACCATTTGAAAACTGTGAGCGTCAAGAGTGTGCAAAGTAGATAATATCTGCATAGCAATAAGGTGTGTCCTTACTGATAGTATCAAAGCCAATCCCACTGCCATAAGGGTCACTACAACGAGTATGCTGGATCCGAACAAGGAGTATTTGTGACCTCCAACATCTCCTTGGGGATGAAGTAATTGTGACGTCCCGCATAGCTTTTGATGCTTGTGAAACCATGCACATTCCTCCTTAATTGGGCAGAAATAAGAGGCATCATCCATTTATAAAGCTGGTGATTGATACCCATTAAAAACCCTAGCACATGACAGACAGAGACAACACCATCACGTAGCCATCACGTAAATAGCCGTCCGTTTTTTCTTTAGAATGCTAATCCAACGATTCCATGATTATCCGTACAATCCTGTACAAACCCTACATTTTCTGACAAACAATCCTGTTTGATTGTCCACAGAAGTAGATTCCCTTTTTTATAGTTTCCAAAGTATTCTTAATCTGGCACGGATCTACCTTATTGTTACCTTTGCTGTGAAAATGTGTTGTGAAAACAAGTATACGCGTGTGTATTTATTTAAAACACACACACAAATATACATATAGTTCTACCAACTATATACATATATACATATAGTTCTACCATCTATATAATCTGACAAGTCACAACGTACTTCATAGTTCATATATAGTTCTACCAACTACTTTTACAACTTTGAAATACTATGTATTAACACTAGATCAGATTTATAGATGGACAAGGCAAATAAATCATCCTTTTCTTTCATGAAGCACTTCATCCACAGGGTGTAACTATACACCTCCACGAGGAAAATTTCAAATTTTATACAAGTCTAACCCAGAAAACATTCTTGGGTTTTGGGTTAGATTCATCAACCAGAAAAACCCATAAGGGTCCAAAGAAAGAAAAGGATCAAAATACAATGAAGAAAGATGTGAAAAAAAAAAAAGAGAAGCAGCGATCGAGCACTGCTGCTTCATCTTAGTCATCCTTCTCCGAACAAATTAATTGATTATATATATCACACCACAATCTGGAGGTCAGGGATTCGAATCAAGGAAACAAACGACAGCAAGGCTACACGTGACCCTTCTCCAGATCCTGCAATGATGGGAGCCTTGTTATATTCCACATCATTCTCTCATCTTAGCATTGAAGTTAGAGAGCGGAAAACCACTTCTTCACATGGAATGGTAAGACCCATTTCGTGATCGAAGCCGAACTCTTCTTCGGCACGCCGGAGAAGGCACTGGAACTCTGGATGAGTCAAGAATGAGATTGGAACTATGTATCTACTTCTGTTTTCTCCGACATAGACAGCAAAATGGCCTTTTGGCACGTCGTCCGGGAGGCCGACGCCGTCGTCATCGTACCCATGTTTCTTTCCTAAGCTTGAGCATCTTTTGAGAATTTGCTTCAGAACTGCAGTTTGTGGTAGCTTGTTTGATTTCCTAATGGCCATTTTAGGGTTTTGAGAACTTATTGTTTATAGCCAAAAAAAACAAAGATGGTTGAGGAAGAGAAGAGAGTTGGGGGGTGGTGGTGTTGAGTGGATGGAGGGGTGTGAAGGGTATTTATGAACAAAGTAGCTAGAGAGAGAGAGAGAGAGAGAGAGAGAGAGAGATGGGTCATGTGGGGTGTGGGAGCAAAGGACAGACCATGGGTGTTTTGGGGATATGTGTGTATTGTGTGCAAGGAAATGGTGGGGGCAAAGCCCATTAGGTAACCTCTCCTTTGTTGGCCCTCCAAATGACAACATGGGCCCTCTCTCTCGCAATCAGATTTAATTCTCCTCTAACCCAACCTACTAGTCTTCTTTTGTTTGGATATGTTTCACTCTCTTAGCACTCCTTTACTCTCAAAGTCGATGTCACCACTATAAGTAATACTAAAAATATGTACATCATGCATGGTGTCTCAAAAGAAATGGTGGGATTAAGGGTGGGATTCTTATCTCTAAACATAGAAAGAGAATATACTTAAATTTATCTGCAACCCTAAAAGAATTTTCAAGACGAGTTGTAAACTAAGACGTCATTCGTTTGAACAGTAAATTAAGACGTTTTACATGTTGTTCTCACAAAAAAAAATATATATATATACTTCTATTTAAAGCGAGAAATAGTACATATCCAAATGGTTACCAAGTATTACGCAGTAAAATAAAAAGAAAAAATCTATTTGAATTAACCATATAAATCCATGGTCCTGATTCTTTTAATCATCACAACTCAACTCAATTGGGTTTCTTTAAGCACTTCTTAACTAAAATCGAATCATTTAGGTGGTCCAAATGAATTGTTATCCTTAAATGTCATGACTTTCTTCTTCCTAAATTAAAAACTAAAGCTTTACTCTCCTTAAATTGGAAATCCAACTCTTCTCTGTCAGGTCATAAACCAATAATAACTGTACTGAAGAGTACCACTCCGTGGAGAGAGGGATTGGTTTTTTTGTGATTGTCGGCTTGTAAGTGTTACGTAAAAACAACCAACATTTCTTACCGTGAATCCTTTATCCATATAAAAAATCTGCAGAAATCCATGTGCAAATACTGCTACCCTTGCAGGTTCGACCCCAGTGCCTTTATCCCTTACATATATATAAAAATATATAATTTGTAAAAAAAAAAAATTTACCCTTATAATTTACTGCTTCCACAATCCTCAAAAATGATTTAATATTCAAGAAATAATACATATATCTTCTTTATTGATCGATATTCATGAAAGTCCATTGACTACTACTTGTATTTGTTTGTATTTGTGTATCCTCTTTCTTGTTTCCTATTTCAACATATATAATATATTCTATAGTTTATTCAACTTCATAGTTAATGGCCCATGTTATCTTGTTCCACATGGTTCTTCATATTACACTTTAGTACCATACTTGCATTAATACCTTAAATGTAGACTGATAGTATTAAGTAATGTTGAAGATGCCTAGGAATTTAACGAATTTGAACACGTTTGTCATATCCCACCATTTGCAAGCAATCGACCAATGAAGGAGCTAGGTTCATTGGATTGTAATAAATAGGATGGATCATAAAGATATTATGTAATATTTGCATAAATAAATAATTTTACTGTAAAATATAAAAATAAATGTTATGCTCTCATATAGGCAGGTAATATCATTTTTCATGTTATTGGAAGAGATTTTCGCAACTTATTTCAAAAAGAAGAAGAAGAAGAAAGGAAATAAGAACACGAAGGGTTATTAGATTTTCGTAAAGCTAGAAGCAATGGAAGAGATATAGAACAGCATATGGTGACCAGTTGAGATGGAAGAGATTTTCGCAACTTATTTCAAAAAGAAGAAGAAGAAGAAAGGAAATAAGAACACGAAGGGTTACTGTTTGATTCCCTTGCACAAGGAAGATGATTCCATCACTTCCACGTATGGGATGGCATATGGTGGGTCCGGAGGAAAGAGGATTCCTCTCTTCTTTTCCCTTCCCAAATCTCCTCCTCTATCCCTCCCCCTTCCATTCCTCTCATCTTCATTCATTCCATTTTCGTCCCTAGCAAACAGCCTCTAAAAGAAAGGAACACAAATAAATCATGTAGAGTAATCTTCACCCTTTCTTGTGAACTAGACCATTGTTAGAGTGGTCTTGTCCCACATCAGACTTGGATGGGGAAGATATAAGGCATGTATCAATGGGTCACGCCATTACAGTTAATATCAGAGCTAGATTCAGTTTTTGATCTAGTGTCACGTCAAGTGCCTATTTGGGCATGTCCACCCCAGGAGGTATGGTGGTCCGAATGCCCCAAAGCTTATGTTGTCTTTTAACGGGTCAAGCGCTTGTCTTTTAACTCCAAAGCTTAAGTTGTGGGTAGCGCTGTGTACCCGTCCATATATGCCCAAATCCTTCCCCATCTGGACTCCACATGGACAAGAACACCTCTTAACATTTTCCTCAACCCGAACTCGCAACGCCCACATTGCCATCTGACAACCTTGCCTACTCAATCTGAATCTGGATACCTCCCCGGTGTGTGCTTGACTTGACACCGCTCATATATATATTCAAGTCCTTCCGCCATCCCAATTCAATGTGGGACAAGAACACCTCTAACACCAATCCTGTGCCCAACACGGTGCTGCAAAGGAGAGGATGCAAGTTCCTTTCCAGGTGGTCCTCCTGCTGAAACCAACATGAACCTAACTCAAAATAAGCACCACAGATTCAAAAAAGTTATAGCAGCATGTTCTAAGGCTCAGAAAGCGATCTGCAAAAGCATAAAAGATTAAATGCTTGATACGGCTATGTCCTGCATTCCTGTCTTCTCTTTTTGTTTTACTTAGACCCCTCAAAAGTCCTTGAGGGTACATTCATCCCCCACAACCTTTACAACCATACACATGCCCATCAAAGAATCCTGCCCGGTGTATAAAATATAGTCGTATCTAAATCATACAACATTAGTGGTTAATACATTTAGCGCTACTCATAACTCTCTTGAGTGAATTTATTCCATTTCTAATTTCATCCAAAAAGCTATGTTATACAAACTGAATTTCCACTTGACTTGAAGGGGTGGTTCACCACCATTCACTTGGAAAAAACATGCTCATAATTCTTCCACTAATTTACTAAGTAAAATGAAAAAAAAAAAAATATATATATATATATATATATATAGAGAGAGAGAGAGAGAGAGAGACTAGATCAGATGTATTGTAACTTAATTGTGAAGATTTAATGATGAAAGGAAATCACCCTTTCTTTCTGGTGGATATTTAATTAACACCTAAAAACACTAAACAAGAATCAGCAGTAAGTCGCCATCATTGGAAGATACTCTTGTCTGATATTTAATTGTATGAATTAAACATATTAAGAAAGCAAAGAATGAGATTAGGACAGTTAAACAGTGGTCCCTCAATTATCACTGAAATAACGGTGATCCTTAGAACTAATCAACAACAGCATTTGCTTTCAAGTTGATGGTGACCTGGCATTTCGTATAGCACATGAAGGCATGTTACTCTGCCCCCAAAAACCCTCCTGTAATGACAACATAGCAAGGTTCTGTGAGATCAAACCCAACTACTTGAAACCGCCATCCTATTCTTATCCAACCATCACTATAAAAAACTGTGACCGTCCACCTGAAATCTGATTACTTATTGCCAAGTTGCCTATGTCGTTTGTGGTGACGCAGATAATGTTTACTCAGAAATATAATTATATAATATATATACACACAAATATAAAATAAGGAATTACACATTCCAAGTATCTATAGAGCTGCAAAAATCGGATATCGTTTACCAATGTTGATATCGCCAGGATATGAGAGACCACAAAAAAAAAAAAACTGTATTCTGTGGGTGGTAAGGGAAATGATCAATAGAGAAGTCCTGGGAATGTGTAAAGTTGATATCAAAATAAATGCAGATATGGTGATGTCATCATCGGTGAACATTGACTAAATTGGAAGCTTGAGTATAGAAAGCTTAGATAGTGGTAGAAACAATATGCAGTTGAGGTGAATAGAAGATTAATCTCTTGGACCCGTTGCAAAAAAAATATAAAAGAACTTCTGAGATGCAAGGATAGAAATTCATACCTGATACGTGCCAAATGAAGATGAGAGTGACAATGGAATAATATTGATATGACCGACAGCACATGCACGGACCCATCAGAAAATTAATGTTGATGACCCCATTTCTCTTTACCACCTATATTTGTGGCATCAAAAGGACTAATGCAGGAAGTACCTGAGAGTGGCTCCTAGCTTTTAATCACATGTACTATACAATTAGTAAAGTAAACATTGATGTGAGGCTATGTACTCCACAAAAATCCAATAATTATACAACTCTGTGAGGTATGTTAATTTACAGAGGAAATCAGAATGAAAAGACTAGTGTTAATGAAAAGGCTCTAGCATATATAACAGTTCAGAGAGTAAATAATGTGCTAATATTAAAAAATATACCAAGGTGGAATTTGGCTATTGAATTTACAAGTTACAACAGAGATGAAAACAAACCCGTGAACTGGTGAGTCCACGCATGGTCAAACATCTCAAAATAGATTAGATAGAGGACAGAGATTACAAAAAGTAAAGCATAAATGATCGAATTATCAGCCATAAAAAGTCACATTTTTTACTTGGATAACTCTTTAAGAAAAGTTTATAGAATGTTGGGGGAACGCTAAGGTCTCCTACATGCTTTGGATGCTAATTAAATCAGCTGATTCTAGAATTAACCTCTTTGATATCTCTCATATTTAGAGAACTGATTAGAATCAGTAAAGCAAATTTGACCCAGGAGGCCAGGATGAAGTTTCAGAGGACAGTTGGTATTTGAATTGCTGGGAAGCAATTTTATTTATTTATTTATTTTTGCTGAGTAAGAGTATATTACAAAGCGTTCAACAAGGGAACGCATCCTGAACGCTACACAAAGGCTGAAGCCAAAGAAAAAGAGCCCAAAGACTCAAGGAGCCCAAAAAATCAACCATCTTCCTCTACATATTTAAAATTTCTCCTCATCCCTCAACTATAAAGGAGAACTAATAATATGACACTTCAAAGCCCCAATGGAAGATTCCTCCTTGTCGAAAGATCTTCTATTCCACTCCTTCCAAATGCACCACTAAACACAAAAAGGTGCCACCCTCCAAAAATCATGGCCGTGGGCTCTCACAGAATAGCCTCTCCAAGTGTCCATCAAACCTCACGAAGACCGAGGCATAACCCATTGGACGCTGAATAGGCCAAAAATAAGGCTTCAACAATCGTGAGCCAAGGGTAATGCAATAGGAGATGATCCACAGACTCTCCAACCCTCTTGCACAAGCAACACCAATTGATAGTAGCATGTCTTCTCCTTCTCAGCTTATCCATCGTCAAAATCTTGCCCCATACTGCAGTTCAAACAAAACAAGTCACTGTGAGATAAGTCTTAAAAAGAAAAACCATCTTCCAAGGGAAACCGGAGCCATAGAAGTTGGAAAGGCAATAGAACAAGGAACGGACCTCAAATCTCCCATGAAGAGAGGGCACCTAAACAATGGAGTCAGGGCCTCTGCCATCTAGTTCTTGTTTATACAAAAGGTCCAGCAATCCATACACATCATCCAACTCCCAATCCTGGAAATTTAAACCGAAATCGCACATCCCACGTAATCCTACCGCTATCAAGCCGATAACAGTTGGCAACCAAGGCATGTCTATCACCGACAATCCTAAAAAGCCTAGGAAAAGAACAAGACAATGGACAATCGCCACAAAATAAGTCCTCCCAGAACCGAATACCCCTGCCATCACGAGCTCTGAAACCGATGTCTTTAAAAACTTATCCCAGCCCTTCCGAATGAACTTCCACACACCCACGTCTCTAGCTGATTTGACAGCATTAGAAGCCCAACCACCTCTCTCCTCCCCAAAGTGCACGCTAGAACTCTCCTCCAAAGCCGATGATGTTCTCCTTCGAATCTCCACAACCACTTCGCCTAGGAGAGCCCTATCGAAAGGGATCAACCTCCTAATGCCCAAACCACCCAACTGTTTAGGCCTGCACATCTACTCCCAGCAGACAAGATGATAATTGAACTCCTACCTCTGCCCCAAAGGAAGTTCTGCTTAAGCATTTCAATCCTTTTGGCAACAGATGACGAAATCTAAAAGAGAGAAAGATAGTACGTAGGGAGACTCAACAACATGCTCTTCATAATAGTAACCTTCCCACCCTTCGAAAGATACTGCTTCTTCCATCTAGCCAGTCTTCTCTCAAACTGCTCTATCACAATATCCCAACCTCCCAACCTCCTCGACCGAGCACCCAAAGGCAGTCCTAGATAAGAGAGAGGAAAAGAACTAACCCCACACCTAAGGATCGCAACAAGAGAATCAATATCCAAGACCTCCCCACAGGACCAACGTACTCTTCCCCACATTTACTTTCAGACCAGATACTTCCTGAAAGCAAACTAGAACACACCTAAAATATCTCAGCAGCTGGGACACATCAACATCACAAAAGACCAAGGTATCATCCACGAACAGTAAATAAGATATCTCAATCTGATGAGCTGCATCTCAACCCACCCTGAAACCCCTGGGGAAATTCAATATGAGACTACTGCCTACTAGGTTTTCTTTAGCCATATATCACCAGAAAGAGATATCAGATAAAACCAAGCCATATCCTGACCTGACCATGTGAAATCAACTAAATGCAAATCAAATAATCCTAACCTTACCCTTCATCATTTATCAAGGTTGGTTAAATAAGGATCCTTCCTTAGAGGGGAGCCATGCGGCTCAATTTCAGCATACAAATATCAGAAAAGAGTCAGTACTCCATACACATTATACGCTAATCAGAACATGCATAAGAGTTCAAATCGTCCACCCCAACTATCAAAAAAGTAGATTTTCCAATTTCTCAACTTTCAACCAATCAACACCGAAGGGAGGGGAAAATAAGGTATATTGTAATTTTCACAATTCAACACTAATTTTTCAATTTGATTGGTGCCTGTTGAGGCTAGCCCATTATTTCTAAAGGCTGTCATATGGCCAAAGTGCCGCAGTCCAACTGACTTTGTGGAACTGAGTGCAAAATCTCAACTGTGTTCTATAAACATTATTACGACATAATCCATTTATTAGCTATACCCAGCGGTCCAGCACACCATTCAATAAAACTAAATTTGAAATTTTAGCCTATGATAAATCAAATATTTTACATTCATTTTCCACTTTTTTGGTACAAATAAATTGTCAATAAACACTTCTGCGAAGAATTACAACAAAGACAAGGTGAAAAGAAGAAGGTACAGAACTCTCCAAAGTGGATTAAATACATAGTTCATTATTCCAGAATGGAGTAATAAACAGAATCATTATATTCTATACCATCACACATGAATCCCGCAAAATCTTTTTAATATGAAAAATTTCATAAATTATGGACAGATAATGTACATTTACATGTCAGAAGTAGGTTTCAACTGCTGATGCTGCCCATCAATCACACTCATCTGCCTTCTGAGTCTAGCAATATGAGCTTGCACCTATCACATGCGAATAAAACTGTCAAAGATTCAGCACGCTACTTCACTGTTTGATTAGACATTGAAACAACTTATCTCAAACAAAATATGTAAATAAACAAGTTAGAGTAAAATCCATGATGCATCATGAGGGCTAAGAATGTGCAAGCTTTGAAGGCTTCCATAGTTCCATGGGTCAGTTTACATTGAAATATTCCAACTAGCCAAAATAAATAAATAAAATCATTTGCCCCATTGGCCAGGCGCATAGCATATGATACCCTTTCTGAAATAAAGGAATCTGTAAAACGTTAACATATAAAATCGAAAACAGTTTCAATGGGCCTTTTTGTAACTCATTAATGTATCATTAGAAGAATAACCAGCATATTTCACAAATGATGTGTTCCTTGATATAAAAAACTAGTACACCATAAGGAGGAGGCAGCATCAACTATGTATGTGCAACAATCTAAGTTAATGAACTAATCCTCTTCTGCACTTCCAGTCCATTGAAATTCATGTCTTAACTCCAATCAAATCATCTTCACAATGTCTAATTGAAAGATATCAAGCTTTGGATCATTCTTCCTTGTGTTCAAATAAATCTTTTGGAGATTGGTTAATAATTAAAATTATCCAATGATGTGGCATTCATTCTAGGACCAGATAAGAACCATAAGTGTGTATTTCCATAACCAGCACGTGGATGTGAATTCTAAGCAGAAAAGGATCCAACTCGTATGTTCTATAATGGTTCATAATCCTATAAATTTGCCTAATCCTGCAGAATCTATCTTCTACAAAACCATGATCAAATATCCACTCATCTTTTGCTTCAATGGTTTATTGTGCATAACATGAAATAGAAGATGCTGGCATAAAAGTGGTTTATCAAATATTCAATCATCTTTTGCTTCAATGGTTTGTTGTGCATAATACGAAACAAAAGGTGTTGGCATAAATATATTATATCCACTCATCTTTTGCTTCAATGATTTATTGATGAATTTCTGTTTGGAGCTATTGCTGATTTTATGAAAACAATCTTCATCTAAATCATCAATTCTCATAGAAGTTTCAAGTCCCGAGCCCTTTAAATTAGAATGCAATCATTGGACTTTGGCCTCTGAGAGCTTGGAAAGAACGTCAATTAAAATGGAACCATCCTTCCCTACAACTCTATATTCAAAATCTCCTTTTCGGGTCAAAGACATTGAGACTAAGACATTCTATTTATGAACTGCAACTCTTAGCTTCTAGAAACAAACTTTTTAATGCATGTATATACACACACAAACATTATATATATATATATATATATATATATATATATATCTTAGCTTCTAGAAACAAACTTCTTAGCTTCTAGAAACAAAATTCTTAATATATATCTTAGCTTCTAGAAACAAACTTCTTAGCTTCTAGAAACAAAATTCTTAATACATGTATATACACACACATTATATATATATATATATCTTTTTAGATGCAACAAAAGATCAAAGCAATCAGCCATGGATGTGATCATATTGTACACCCAATATATAGCAAGAAAAGTAGCTTTTGTTTTTGCCTGAAGGATTGTTCCAATCTCATGCCAAGGTGCAAGAAGGCAACCCCCTGCACTAGCCCTCTTGTACTCCAATTTCCAAGCCCCATCAACTAAGATTTTCACCATTGAATTCACTTCAGGATAATTAAGAATGTAATTAGATAAGTACAAAGAACGTTGACTAAGCTCCTATTTTTACAGTATTTTGGGCATTGGCAGAAAGGAAAGATTCATGAAAAGCATAGAGAGCTTGTAAACCCTGGAGAACCAACCTAAATGGTCCTTTGCCTTTGCCACCAGAACCATAGAAAGAACAATTTTAGTTCCTTCAAAATGAAATTGTCAAATGAAGTCCAGATTGCCCTTGCTTTCCAAGCAATAACCCGAGTCCCACCTAAAAGAAAAGAAAAGAAAAGAAAAAATGGCAAGGGTCCCATGTCAAAGTTAAATGCCAAGTTGGAACTTGGAGCCCTAAACACCAGCTTCAATAATTAATATTCCAGAAGGAGATGGTGGATAGTCTCATGCTGAAGTTTAGACTGAGTAGGGGCAGTTAAAATAGGTGAATAATATATAAAAATTAAAAGAAAAGAGATAAAAATAAGTCAATAGGGCATCAAAGTGAGTCAGACTGCTGGTTATCAGAACTTGTGCAACATTCCTGTTCTTTTAGCAATGGTGATGTTTGGCCACGTGGCTATAATGTCAAATGGAAGTACCCTACTTGTGATAGCTCAGCGACCAGACAGATTGCATTTTCCATAATAGAAACAAAGGCGTGCCTAGTTATATTTATAAGATTCAGTTTCATGTCAAGTGGAAGTTCCCTACTTGTATTTGTACAGTTCAACAACAAAAATATACAATTCATTTGGGACACTAAGAATGTTGTTATTAAATTTGAGACACTCATACAGTACCTAGTAACGCTTTCAATAATTTTCAGGATTCATTCTACAGTTGATTTGGCAAGATGAGACATATATATGTATGCTAACACATAGACACTATAGATGGCATTTGATTTCATCACCTTAGATTTAAGCTTGCAAAGAGACAACAAAGATCAACAAAGATGAAAAGCACATAAACACTCCATGAGAGACATTGACTGACCTAGGTCTGTTGGCATGAATGTCCTATTACTGGGAATAGTCACATTGATAATTTGGATTATGATAGCAACATTATAAATGTGGAATGATGGTAACATAAATAATTAGTGATTGCTGTGGCCTTATTTGTAGAAAGCCTAGATTTGTTTGCGTCTCCCCATAGCTTGCCGTCAAACAATGGGTTCCTTTTTTATGCCACGGTGCCTGTTGAATTTATAATGAAAATTTTTGGTGATTCAATTCCTAAGAAACTTGCTCATGTTATTTGTAAGCATCAACCAGATCCTATTTGCTGACAAGGTGTTCGATGCAAGTCATTTTTCAGTGTATCTGCGATTGGAGAACAGTAATATGGAGGAATAGGGTGGCGGGCACTCTGCAAGAGCATCAGGGAGGGATATTTAAGCACTTCTTAAATGATAAGGATAATGTGGATAAAGAGTGTACTTACATTAAAAAATAGGGTACTTACATCTATTGGTACCTTGATACCGCCTTCCAATCATGGAACACTATGGTGTTGTTTTATCAAACTGAAAATTTTAAGAGTTTCTTTGATATTTTTTTATTTTATCCATTGTGACTTGGAGGCCACAAGTTTGAACAAAGGAAACAACCTCTCTGCATGTGGAGGTAAGACCGCATCCATCTGACCCTCCCAAGACCCCGCAATGGTGGGAGCCTCATGCCCCAGGTTTGCTCTTGTAGATTTAAAATGTTCAGCATTTAGTGATAAGTGAAGTCACCATCACTTAAAATTTTACCAAATTTTAAATGGCGCTTATTTTTTTTAATTGATATTCAAAACGCGTTATCAAATGTACTTAATTGTATAAGCACTTAATCCATTCAAAATTAAGTGTTGCGTTATCAAACAACACCTATCTATATGGTCAGGATTGGACGTGAAAAAGGGCTTCCCTACAGCTCTAAAGAAAAAATAAATGATAATTGGGCTATACAGACAAAAAGAGGAAAGTGAAATCAGAATTATTTTTTCAGGGTCCAGTAACCTACCTACGTTGACAAGATTAACTAATGTTAGTGCTGAGTTGGTTATCATCAAACATACGGCCACACCTTGTTAGTGACCTGTACGATCCACAACTACACAAATTTACCCAAGCCTTGTAAAGTTGTACTTGAATGTTATATTGTTAAGACATTTTTATAGATAAATGAGCCTTAGACAGGTCTCTGCATTTGGGTTCCCTTTAATTCAACTGACAATGAAATTTGGGAAAGGAAGTAAAAAAATTGATGACTGACATACTCATAAAAAAAATAAAAATAAAAAAATAAAAAATGATGACCGACATGGATCTCAATACGATTTATTTTAAAGTACTTGTCTCACTATAAAGTGTTGTTAGTGTCTAAGTTTCTGAAGTACTGTGCATAATATGATTGTCAAGCTTGCTGCATCGTGGATGAAAAAGTAGCAGAACCATGTCCCCACCTTGTTTTCCCAAAACTAAATGAAACCTGAGTGTGACTTTATTAATTCACACTTTTAAAACTATTTTTACTATTATACTACAGTTAATTGCTATTACTTTTAACTTTTCAAGTTGCAAATCAAGTAATACGTACAACACATTTACAGTCCAAATGACTAAAATGATTAAGCACACGATACCAGAACCGACATGCTCGCAAGAATTCATATATATCCCATGGGTGGAATAATGCTATAATAGTAAGTGGAAAAAATTCAGAATTTTCGAAAAAACTGAAAGTAAAGATATAAAATGAGCATCACATTCATGCTAACCTGTTGACGAGCTGCTGCAAGCTTTAAAAGCTCATCTGCTTCTGAGAAATTTGTAAACCACTGGTTTAAGGGATTATCTTTAGTGTCACCTCTTTTCCTTTTATCTGCATCTTCAATTGGAACTACAAAAAACCAATAGCAATTAAATACCTCAAAATGCGGTGAAGAGCAAAACCTATAAACAATACAGCAAAAAGAGAAGCACACCAGGAGGAGGTAAATTAAAACCAGCAGGTGTTCTAGGCACAATAACAGCCGGATGGTTCTGCACGCGAGCAAAGAAACCCTCTGAAGGTTCGCTAAAACAAATCTCGTCATACGATTCTATAACAACAGGCTTCTTAGTGGACATGGGACCAGATTCATCCTCTGGATACAACTTTAAATGATGAAATCTGTAAACAACAGAAATTCAGAAAATGTAATCTTTTAAGTAAATGTACTGGAAATTCACAATTTAGACCAGCCTATTCCTTCAGGACTACACTACCCTGGATCTCAAACTGTATTATAGTGCATTTACCCACTGTATATCATGCCTATGTGGGGTAATGGGAGGGGAAGACAGAAACATTTGTAACCTTTAGCATTATTTTAAGCAAGTGACTGCACTAAGACTTCAATTTGAGACATCATATTTGTCGTTCCAAGTTTTCAAAATTGAACTACACAATATTATAAACCTTATACCTAAGATTGGCAGGCGAAATTTGTAGTTTCCAAATAAATCAAATATAAGTTAGAACCAGATAACAAAGAAAGCAACTCACAGGAGCAATGGCTTATCACAAACATCACTGTGGAAATGAAGGGTAATGGCGATTTCAAATTCACCCCACCCAGACTCCGATAATTCGAAAGGCGGAGACTCCACAACCCTGGTGGGGTTATTGAAACTGGCATGCAATTGGAAGACAGCACGTTTTATGACCACGCCAAGATCCTCATTTGTGGCACCGCGCACATAAACAGTCCATTTATGAGACTGGTATCTGATCAAACACATGCAAAATTAAACAAACATTAATCGAACATATAACAGAAAATCAAAAGTAAAAACTTTAACAGAGGCATTTAATCGAACACTTCACAGACAATCTGAAACTTATGCACTTTAACAACACTTACTCACTCGCCTTCTTACCGAGCCAGAATGCTATGCTACCATATACTATCGGGACACTAATTTCAGCATCTTTGAGTTTTTTGTTCAAGCTCTATGCGAAACCAATGAAAAACAAAAGAATGAAAATTAACACTTTATATATGTTTTAGAAGTCATTCATAACGTTATTTTGGTAATCTGAAGGGTCATTGTTGAAATTTGAATTGAAACGAAAGTTACCTTCTTCTCAGTGTCATCTGAAGATTTAACCATTTTGGAGCGTTGTGATTTTGGGGTGGGCCCACTAACGTCCGGCTGATCTGAACCGAGCTTTTTTGCCGTCGATGAACTCTGAGGCATCCTACGAAGATCCCTTCTAAAGATTGATTGATACGAAAACGAAATAAATTAGGGTTTCCGATCGTACTCTACGATAGCCCCGAGTCTGAAGAGAGATCATCTACGGCGGGATCTATTTATGTTTTACGTCTAACAAATCACAGTAGGACTCGTCACGTTACTGAGGGGACTTACGAATAGGTTTCACTTCTTCAGCAAAATGACTAAGCAGCCCTTAACCCAGTATGAAAATTAAAACCCAAAAAAAAAAAAGGTTAGGGGAAAAGATTAGGGATACAAATAATAAAATTTTACCTTAATCAATCCACTTTCAAAAAGATTAGGAGACATGATTTGCCAACTAAACAACCCCAGACTTTTCGAATTTTAATTAAGGCTCCGTTGATTTGGATGTAAAATATTTTTAAGGAAAAAATAATATTTTCTGGTGTTTGGTTGTCGTAAAATATTTACGAACAAAAAAATATATTAAAATTTAACAAAAATAATTTATTTATAAATTTTTTACATGTTATTTTACATGCCCCACCCGATGGACTCGACTTCAATATCAACGTAGATCTTTGCCAAATACCGAAAAAGTAAAAATAAAAAAATATTTTACCTAAAAAAAGAAAAAAATATTTTACGTCGAAACAAACGGAATCTAAATCACAATTATTGGACATAATTATGCTAAAAAAGTATATCTTATTTTGTCTTATAATTATTTATTTATTTATTTTTAGTACTAATGGTAACACTTATTAAGAATAATTGCTCTTTTCTTTTTCTTTTCCTTTTTTTTTTTATAAAAAAAAAAAGTGTAACAACTGAATTTGTATTATAGTAAATTAGATCCTAGATGGAGATGGACAAAATGTTATAAATCTTATAATCAAGCCATATATTTTCTAGAAACCATAACAAAGAGGAAGACATTAAATGGATCTTAGCAAGAGTGCAAGAAACAATAAAGACATGAAGTTAAATAAAAGAATGTAACATTTTTATTGCATATTTTTCACTTCCTTCATATAAATTTTTTGCCACAAAAAACTATAAAAACAAAATAAAAATGTAGATGTAAATGTGATTGGCTTCCCAATTTACAAAACTTTCTTTAATGATCTGTTTTTCTTCCCCTTTTTCATCTAAGCTATGTACACTCTCAAAAACTACTCAAATGAGACGTGGCATCTAGGAATGATTCTTCTGCACAAGAAATTGTAAGACCACACATTGGATGATAAAATCCATATTCTTCTTCAGTCTTATGTAATAACTCTTACTTTAGGGTATAACGGCGTTAGAAGGGATTCGGGAGGTAAGTCCTTAAGTCTCACTTTTGAACTGCACTCATAACTTGAATGGTACGTGTGTTGTGGGGGCTAATATACGTACTCTAAAAAAGTAAAAAATGTAACAACTCTTGGAATTTAGGTTGGTTCAGAACAGGTCCAATGGTGAGTGATCCGGCGATTTTGAGCTAGATTTGAAGATTGGCCTGCTCCAATGGACTCTCCGAAAAGTGGGCCCCATAAAGAGGCTCTTGATCCAGGTCACCAATTACCAATATTGGGTTGGCAATTTGCGGGCCTGACATGCTGGCCCGCATCTGTTTTCTTTTTCTTTTTTAATTCTAGCACAAACAGTGTTTTAGCCTAAAACACTATTTGGTAAGGCATGTTTGGCTGAAAAAATCAGTTTTTTGGTTGATTTTGGTCTCTTTTTTTTTTTTTCCTCAAAATAATTGAACCAAAGAGCTGTTAAGGCACTGTTTGGCTGACACAAACAGTGCCTTAAAGGATTTTTTGGGCAAAAAAAGTTTTAAAAAATAGATAAAAGTGGTTTTTTTATTTTATTTTAAATTTGCTTTTTAAAATATTACTACTGCCATATAGCCGTTTTAGGCACTGTATGGCTAACCTAAACAGTGCCTTAACGACTATATTGACACAAAAACCTATTTTTTGAATTTTTTTTATAAAATAATTATATACATATTTATGTTTTTTTTTTTTATTTTTTTTTTTAAATATAGCCGTTAGGAAAAAGTTAAAAAATAAATTTTATTTTTAATTTTAAAAATATTAAAATATTAATATTTTTGGAGAGTGAAAAGGCACCATTGGAGTACATCCGATAGTTAAAATTTGGAGATTCTAAAACGCTGACGTGGCTATGAAAAAATGCTGATGTGACAAATTTAGAGAGCCTGAATTCAGAGAATCCATTGGAGATGCCCTCAAGTATGACACTGGAACCAAGAATCTCATTTTATGACATTCACCAACATTACCACATTTGAAACTGCAGGCCTTGCCTTCATAAGAGATTGCCAGAGAATTTGATTAGCTTGGAGAACACCGGGCAAGCAGACACCCATGTCTTTCGTTGGGAGAGATAACAATAAACAAACACAGTGTAATAACTCTTCTCCCTATATGCAAGCAAATATAGTGTATCTCTACTTTTATATGTGCTGAAAATAATAGGAAAAATAATTAAGCACACCAAGTCACAAGAACACAAGCAATTTTTTTTTACGTGAAAAATTTCCCCAGTGTGAGGAAGAAAAACCATGGGACCTAGTCCAATTAAAATTTTCAATATCAATCAAATAATGGGTACACAAAGTTTTCTTTAATCGCAATTAGATGGTACAATACATCTCATCAAGATATCACCAATCTTGGCAAATACAAAGAGAATTGGAGAGAATATACCCAAAAAATATAGTTACTGTTCACGGGCTCGAACCCTAACTCTTGAGCTCAAAATCCGATCTTCACTGTTCAGATTATAGCTCATTGAGTTGTGAACCTCTCCTCCAAATTTTAGCTCAATCGGACCATGGACGAAGCGGGATCGGAGTTTTGATGAAATCTGGGCAGTATGAGAAAAAACTGCGTTTTTCCTCTCTCTCTTGGGAAAGCTACGGCTGGTCTAGCCTCTCTTTTTATTTCTGACTTCTTTAGGGTTCTTTACCCTAAAGGGCTGGGTTTTGGGCTTTAATAAAACCCACTTGGGCTTCCCTCCACATAGAAGGAAATAAACCCAACAAATCTCCCCCTTTCCGACTATGTAGAGGGAATCGCCATCCCGGCAATCGAATAACAAACTTCAAGCTTCTTTCTTGGTAATGTCTTTGTCAACATATCAGAGCCATTATCATCAGTGTGAATCTTCTCAAGTTCAAGTAACTTATTGTTCAACGCATCTCTGATCCACTAGTATTGTACATTAATGTGCTTAGATCTTACATGGAAACTGGAATTCTTAGCAAGATGAATAACACTCTGGCTATCACAAAACAAAACATATTTTTGTTGCTTAAAACCAAGCTTTCTCAAACACTTTTTCATCCATAACAACTCTTTACAAGCTTCTGTTGCTGTAATAAACTCTGCCTCTGTTGTAGAACGTGCAATACATTTTTGTAACCTCGATTGCCAAGAAACAGCCCCACCTGAGAAAGTGATCAAATATCCCGAAGTAGACTTGCGGGTATCCACATCTCCCGCCATATCTGCATCTGTATAGCTAACTAGCACTGGTTTGCCACTTCCAAAGGTGAGTCTGAACTTGAAAGTGCCTCGAAGATACCTCATAATCCACTTTACCGCATTCCAATCTCCTCTTCCTGGATTTAAAAGAAACTGGCTAACAACACCAACTGCCTGGGCTATGTCTAGCCTTGTGCAAACCATTGCATACATTAAGCTTCCTACTGCTGAGGCATATGTGACTCTTTCCATATCTTCCTTTTCTTTATCTGTGGAAGGGTTTTGCTTGGTGCTTAACTTAAAGTGAATAACAAGAGGAGAGCTAACCACTTTAGCATTATTCATTTTGAACCTTTCAAGCATATTTCCAATTTATTGTTCTTGTGACATATACAACTTCTTCTTTTTTCTGTCTCGATAAATACGAATACCAAGAATTTGTTTTCCTTGCCCCAAGTTTTTCATAGCAAATGATTGACTTAGTTGCCTTTTTAATTTGTCAATTCTTGAAAGATTCCTGCCAACAATCAACATGTTATCAACATATAGTAATAAAATAACAAAATCATCATCAGCGAATTTCTGCACAAATACACAATGGTAAGAAGTAGTCTTCCTGTAACCTTACTCCCCCATAACTGACTCAAACTTCTTATACCACTGTCTAGGTGCCTGCTTCAAACTATAAAGACTTTTCTTTAACTGACACACATAATCCTCTTTTCCTTTCACCTTGAAACCCTCTGGCTGCTCCATGTAAATCTCTTCCTCCAAGTCACCATGAAGGAAGGCTGTTTTCACATCCATTTGCTCAATCTCTAAGTCTAGGCTAGGTGCTAAGCCAAGAACCACACGCATAGAAGACAGTTTCATAACTAGGGCAAAAATCTCATCAAAAGCAATGCTTTTTCTCTGACAGAATCCTTTGACAACTAGTCTAGCTTTGTACCGTGGCCGTGAAGTGTGTTTTTCTTGCTTTACCCTGTAAATCCACCTGTTCTTCAAAGCTCTTTTTCTTTTAGGCAACTTCACCAGCTGAAAGGTATGATTGTCATGTAACGACTGCATCTTATGTTGCATTGCATCAACCCATTCTGTCTTATGTTCATTTTCCATGGCTTCTGTATAACACTTAGGTTCTCCCCCGTCAGTTAGTAACACATACTCATCTATAGAATACCGAGTGGAAGGGTGTCGGTTTTTTATAGACTTCCTGAGTAGAACATCTGGTGGTGTCTCTGGTACTGGTAACTAATCAATCTTAATCTGTAAAGGAGTATCACTGTCATCTGGATCCTGCTGGTCATCCTGAGCATCATGTTTAACATGTACTGGAACATCTGTCGAAGAAATTGGATCCAAGTCAATCAAACCATCATCGTACTTAGGCACTGCTTTCTCTGTTTTCTCAATATCTTGTATGATTTGATCTTCTATAAACACAACATCTCTACTTCTCACTAGTTTCTTGTTAACTAGATCATATAACCTGTAGCCAAACTCATCTAGGCCATAAACTAGAAAGATGCATTGTCGGGTCTTTACATCAAGCTTAGACCTCTCATCTTTGGGAATATGCACAAAAGCCTTACACCCAAAGACACACAAA